AAAATTTCATAACAATGTTGCCAGTAGTTTCGACATAATCTTAGAAAATGTGTATACCCTGTATCTTGAAAACGGATGCAGTTACGAAATTTTTAAACACCCTATATATTCCCAGCTGTATATGTAGATAATTTAACAGTGCTGTTCCTAAAGTGGCGCTGGGAAACAGTAACAAAGCCCATACAGAACACGAGGTTAATGGCCGTAGTAATCGACGCCGATGACACCAAATTAAAAAAAAAATAACATCTATGTATACATGGTTAGAAGTAGTGTATATACTCAAGTCATTCCGCTTTTGAAAAAGGAATACCTTTTCTCCTGAAAATTTCTATACCTAACCAGTGTATTCGGTCAAGTAGTAGAAAATGTTACGAAGCAAAGGCCCCATAATTACCTTAATATAAATAGTTTATTTTGCGAATCAAAATATGTTTTCCGTAATGGCCACTTAACTGTTCAAGCTGTTCTTTGAGTGGCATAGTTAAGGGTCTAGAAAGAGGTGAACACACTGCTATTACGATATTTCGCAAAAAAAATTATTATGGAATTAGAGGTGCACCCTACCTAATTCATCTTATCGGAAAAATAGATGGCAGGCTGTATATTTTAATATGTATTAGCTTATCTTAGTTTAAAGTACCCATGGAGTGCCACAACTACAAGGTTCTCTTCTTGGACCATTACTATTTATAATGTACATCAACGATCTAACTAAAAATACTTGCCTTGTAAAGCTATTTTTTCGCATACGTCTGAATATTCTTTACATAATTTTATTTTTTTTTTCTTCGGAGTTCATGTCTTTTAATTAATTTTGAAATATCAATTTTATTTTTTGAATTTTTGATTACGTCAAATTCATTTTAAAAACATTCAAAGTTTTACCATTCGTGTTCAGTATTTTGGAAATGATTAACTAAAATTGGACTATTTATTTTAATAGAAATAGTTTTATCTGTATTATTTTGAGCTTCTATTAGAACAAATCCATTTTTGCGGTTGTTATCATTCGGGGTAAATAAATATGTTTCCTTAATAATTATATCTCTATCCTGTGTACTGACAAAAGAAATTCCCTACCATTAATGGAACAAGAAAAACTTATATCATTTGGTGTCTATATTTAAAATAAATTTCAACTATTAATTGCTTGTTTATTAAATCTATATTTAAATTTATGGTAATTAGGTCACTAAGACTAATAACAATATCGAAAAGTCATGGAAACCATGTACAATAAAATTAATCACGTTCTTGGAATTAAATTCTGCGAACGAAGGAATATCTGCCTGATCTCTGATCTGTTTACTCCATAGCGAAGTCTTTATTGTTATATTTGCATGATAAATTGTGTTAGAAAAATGGGAAAATATTTTTCTGCTATAGATGTTTTTATTGTGGAATTGAAACTTCCGGTATCAATTAGCAATTATATTGGCGGGTTTTTAATATTTTCATAAGGTAGTGGATTATTTGCACTATAATTATTCATTTCTATTATGTAATTGTTTCGGCAAGGCTAGCCTTTGAAAATGTTCAACTTGTTGCGTTTCATTTCTGATTCTATTTCATAATTAAATTGTTGATTATCATCATAATTTTCTTACGGTTCATCCGTGTATATTTCACATTCATTTTCTAAAGCCTAGTTTTGATAAACAATATCATTAAAACTTCTATTAAAGTATATTTGTGTATTATTTAATTCATCAAATTAAAAATTTGGTTCGATTATTTTGAAAATAGTTTTGTCTTTGATTATAGTTTACGTTTCTCATGAGTAAGAGGTTTCGAAAGGTGGTTGACATAGGTTCTGGTTTGGTTAATTGTTTTAAATTAATTTTATTGGGTTTAAAAACATTTCGATGTTTTAAGTTTTCCCCAAAAACTTGACTATTGATGAAATATTTTTTATTTGTTGTCGAAATACGTTTTGAAAATTGTTGATTAACATTAGAATTATTATTTCTTGGATAATTATATTTATCATTAGGATAAACTCTTAATTAGTTTAATTTTTTTTTATTACTTTGTTATCTTATATTTAAGTAATTTTTATTAGGTTTTGTATTTTGATTATTATGATTAATATTAACTTTAGGCATTTGTCTATGCTCAACATTGCCATACAGTTTTTCAACATTTTTAAATTCTGTAACATAAGCTGGCTTTTTCAAATGTAAATAATTTTTTAAAATTGGTGGACAACCTGTAATAAATGTATTTAAAGTTGTCTTTTTATGATGGTTTGTTTGACAAATTTTGTCACAAATGATAATGTGACATCATTACTAGAGGTGTGTCGTTCGCGAACGATTCGTTCAAAAAGAACGAATCAGTGCACTGACTCGAATGAATTGATTCCCTGTTTTTAAAAGATTCGAATCTTTTTTGAGTCAATTGCTCGATGGCTCTGCGATCGATCAAACATGCCGAGTTCCGAGTTTGGTTGCTTCGTTCATTCGATTCGGATTCGAAGATTTGGTATTTTACATCGGCATCGGCAAATTTGTCGCTTTTATTCTACGTTCTACGGCATAATAAGAGAACTCTGACAGGCGGTGGCGGTATGTGTCTTTAATGTTTTTCTCACTTTACAGGAGATGTGTATTAAGCTTAGGTAAACAATTTATGCGTATTGTCTGATAAATAAATTTAAATCAAAGTAAAATTAAAACAAAAAATGACGAATCGTGAATATATAATTTTGCGTTAATTTTGGCTATATATTTGGCATTTAAAAAAAAATTGTGAAATTGTTGTTTATCTTAACGGACAAGGATGTATTTATTATTCAGCTGCCTTTTTTTTTTTTGAAATATGAAACATTAATTCGCTTTACTTTAAAATAAATCTGGTTATAATTATTTTACTCGACGACCTAGTAGGTAGGTTAGGTAGTACTCAAATTCGTAAAAGTTCGGTTCAATTTCCTTCGCCGGATCGGCGGAATAACATCGTTCGTGGTTCGCTAAAGTGAATCACTTGAGAACGAATCTTGAAGAACGAATCTTTTTAGGTGAATGAATCAAATGAATTAATTCAGTAAAAAGATTGGAACTTCCCACCTCTAATCATTACTGATTCGTTAGATCACTGTACTCATTAGTAATTGTAATCGACTACTAAAATCTGACAAATATTCATTTTTATAAGGGTAGTTTCTGGTTAATTCCTGTAGAAGGAAATCCAGATCTCTTCTGTCTGAAAAGCATTGGACAAGAGCTCTTTTTAAATCACCCCAAGTTTCCCACGTTTAATTCGGCTTTATCAATTAGTTATTTTTTAATGCATCCAAAATATGAGCATTTTATTGATCATTATTCAGATCAACATAACTTTGAAAAAGTGCATCACATCTACTGATAAATTTATTTAAAGTATTACTATCCCCGTCGTAGGGTTTAATATTATTTAGCTTGAATTTAAAAAGTCCAGTTAATGTTAGCTACTTGTGGATCCATATCTTTTTTATTACATTTATTATCTTTCAAAGAAATCTTATCAAAGGTTTCTACTTGTATAACATTGTCAAATTCTGTCATATATTTAAAATAAATTCAGTATAAATAACTTTGATATATATTATTTTATTTAAAAAAAAATAAAACTTAATATTACTATCTTTCCTATTTCATGACGAAAAAAGGGAAGCAAAAAAGGATTAGAATTCCTCGATGGACGTAAAACATTCCTGGTTCCTTTTCCCAGATTCTTCTGACTTCTCAACTATGGCTTGTTCCCTTTGGAATTGTCGTAGCCCACAGGAAAGTTCAACTCACACCGAAGGCGTCGAAATGGTCAAAGTCTCAAAAAATCACTGTTAGCATGTTGCGAACCTTAATTTTGTTTTTGTAACCCGTGCGAATCCTACTGACTGCACCAGTTAAAGTTTTTTGAAAACTCTTTAATTCCTTAACTACAACGTTACAGTGTCGAAAGTGTAATAAGAATATGAAGATTATTGAAATAAACAAGTAACATAAATTTATAAATTATAAAGTGCTGAGTCAGTTAAAGATAAAATAATATTTACTAAGTTAATTCTGTACATATAACTCCAGCCATGCTTTTCTACAACTTTTTATTTGCCACATGTCTATTAGAAATTGTATATAGTTTGAATAAACTGAATTAAACATGAAAATCACAGGGTTTTTTTCAGTCTCGAATATGGTACGTCAGTTTCTCTTGGGAGGGAAAGGGGTAGTAAAATCATTATTTTGATATATTAATTTTTAATGTTTATGTAAAATTGTGAAATTTCAAATGTTTTTTAGCAGTCTCCTGACCAGCTACATCTTACTATCTAATCTGCATTCTAATATGTGATCTGAGCCCTCATTGACAAAGAAATATAACCGCCACTGACGTTTTTATCTGTGGCCTTGAACATTGATAAAACACCAAAAAGCAACATATAAAATAAGCATGCCGAACGAACGCCATTGACAAGGCAAGGTGCACTTAGTGAAGTTTCAATACTTTTTAACTTTTCGTTCCATTAAAAGAAAACTTTTTGACGCGCTGGTCGGAAATGTGCCGTCGTGCATGTTTTTGCAAGTTTTTATTAAAATTTTGCTTCGAAAATAACCTGATACGGCTCGTTGTTCAACGTTGACATTTCAATTTTTTGAGAAGGAAATTTGAATACAAATTTGATGTAATACGTAGAACAGAACTAGCTAGCGTTAAAAGGTTAAACTGATTTTAACTCGTATCCAGACAAACTATGAATAATAGGAAATTTATTACACAGTTAAAAATCACATAGAATAAATAAAACACATAAATAAAAATTCATTTAATTTAAATAAATACTACAATAAATATTCATCAAGGAACACATGTTTAATTATATTTCAATACAAATATCTGTAAAATAAATACAAAATAATTAAGTGCCTGGTTCTATTATATTCTAAAGTTATCAAAAACATTTTTCTACTTTAAATATAAGTAAGCTTTTTTTAAATAAAAAGTCAAGAGAATAAGTCCTAATATTTAAAAATGTTACTATAAAATGAAAATCTCGGAGGATAAAACAGTAAAACGTTACAATACACCTCCAAAGTTTTTTAAATCCAAAGAATCACAATACTCAGGATTCGTACATCCATTACGAACACAAGATTTTCCTCGAAATAATCCGCTTATTCTTTAACAATATCGATCCTGGGATGTAAATAATCGTATCCTTCGTAACTGTTTGGTCCTCTTTGTCCTTCGACGTTGTCAAAAGGCCACTGTCTGTCGTATTGCCCTGAAAATCGTATTTTCAATTAACAAAAAATCGATGAATGATAGACGGAGAGTTCAATGACTTATTTTCGGCAATAAATTAATTACGATTCTATATGATAGACATCCGATCAAATAGAATTATATTTTTGATGTTTGTACATTGATTTTCGGAAATACAAAAGAACATACCCAGTTTTAATTGTACATAAATTGAAACAAATTGTCTGTTGACACGAATTTTTAAACGAGGACCATCTATTTTACAATGATTTGGACAAGGTATAATGATAGGAACATGCGTATAACAAACAAAGACCGCTGATCAGCGAGGAGCGCTTGGTACACGACACGAGTGATTCCCTCCTCACTTTAGCTTAGATAGTATGCGTTTAAATTTCCGTACCTGTATAGGTTTATTACAATTATAAAAACAGCCAAAAAATAGTAAATAAAGGTATAAGCGATATCCCAAATGATATATTAACGTTCCTTATTCTTATGTAGTGAGCGTCTAATGGAACTGTTTCAAAATAATATTTGTATGGCAAAATACCATTCAGTTTGTTTTTAAATTTCTCAGATAAACTCATAAACAAATGAAATGTAGATAAGTAACGGTCTGGATTTGTTTAGAGCTAGTGTATCTACCCTTTTATCTATTATTTTCTCTTTCATCTGGGTCTTTGATGTGATTCGTCTATTTTAAGTTGCAGCGCCAAATTTAGTCACACCTGGGAAGTGTCAGATTTGTTCGTACATTTTGTGTCATTTGATATTTTTAAGGCATTTTTTTATAATTTTTAGAGTTTTTCTATGGTAGGGTAAAAACCCAATTGATGGCACTCTCACCTATGATTGGCACCCAACCCTTTTTTTATCAATACTTAGTTCAAATTCAAGTTATCAATATTTATTTCTTCTTGTCCTCAACTGTAAACCTAAACTATAGGTATTTTAGTTGCATTTTGAATGTTGACGGAGAATGTGTACACGTGCAAACGAGTGAAATATTACGTCACCAGGCAAAGAGGTAAAAATTAGTACTTTCATTAAGGAGAAGTTCAAATGTATGAGTCTGGAATTTGTAGACATTGGGACAAAATGATTTTTTCTATTTTTATATAGTTTTTTGATAAATATGAGTTCGTTTCTTAATCATTTCCACTTAAATGAATCATTTATAAAAACAAATTATATGGTGCCCAACTATAGGGACCACAAATGCTTATTTTCCAATGATTGGCATGGATGCCAAATATTGAGATAGTTTGATTCCTATTATTAGCATCCTATGTTTGGTATGTGTATTTTCTGTGGAAAAAAATCATTTGTGTAATGGCTTTTAACAAATATTTGTTTGATATATAGTAATATATTCTATGTCCACAGGGTGGAGTGCTGTCTCCACTCCTGTGGAACCTTGTAGTGGACGGGCTGCTTAGGGCTCTCAAAGATACGAGACATAGAACCCTGGGATATGCCGATGATCTAGTGATCATGGCACAGGGAAAATACAATACTATAATGAGAGATCGAATGCAAGAGGCTCTAAATATAGTAACAAAATGGACAGAGGCGGAAGGACTAAACATTAGCCCAAACAAATCTGGCATAATTGCATTCACCCGCAGGAGGAAATTGGAGGGACTAGGGCCTCTAGACCTAAGAGGTGCAAGCATCCAGCTTAAGGGTGAGATAAAATATCTCGGGGTTATTATTGACTCGAGACTTACCTGGAACCAGCATCTAGAAAGAACCAAAAGGAGAGCGAAAACCTCATTAATGATGGCAAGGCGATCCTTTAGAAAAAAATGGGGGTTAAAACCAGACATGGTATATTGGCTTTATAACATGGTGGTGAGACCGATAATAACATACGCAGCTTTGGTGTGGTGGCCAAAGACACAGCAAAGGAAAGCAATAACGAGGCTAAGCAAGGTACAAAGACTTGCCTGCCTCGGAATAACGGAGGCAATGAAAACAACCCCTACTGCTGCAATGGAAGCACTAATAGGACTTCCACCTCTTCACTATGTGATACAAGAGGAGGCAAGATTAGGTGCTTACAGATTAGAAAATACACTGGGAAATCTTGACATTAGGCCAGGTCACATGAGTATCTCAAGATTAGTGACAGGAGACGTGCTAGACATGAGATCAGACCACATAACCAAGAGGTACTCTTTTAATACTCCATTTGAGGTTTTAATACAGGAAAGAGCGAAGATCACTATAAGGGAGCCCAATGCCCAACGACAGGAACAAACCTGGTATACAGATGGGTCTAAGACTGCGGAAGGCACTGGGGCAGGAGTATTTTCCAAAAACCCTGATACTAATCATAGCTATGCTATAGGAATACATTCCTCAGTATTTCATGCCGAGGTATACGCAATTTTGCAATGTGCAAAAACGAACAATGAAAGAGCTGTCGAAAATCAGCATATTTAAATAATGTCAGACAGTCAAGCGGCACTTAAGGTCATATCGAGTCAGAAAGTTACGTCGAAGCTAGTATGGGAATGCATCGAAGAACTAAGAACACTGGCAGACCGAAATAGAGTAAAATTATTTTGGGTGCCAGGTCACCAAGGGATCGAAGGCAACGAAAAGGCTGACTGGATTCGGGAACAACATATCAACTATTGGGGAAACACCCCAAAACAGGCACATGGAAAAGCCTTCATAGGCAGACCATGTCCCAAAAGAACTGGAGAACTACTCTCAATGAATAGGAACCAGTTGAAAGTGATAGGGTTCATGACTGGGCACGACCCAGTAAAGAGACACTTGAACAAAATTGGCATGTACAATGGGGAACTCATGTGCCGACTATGTCACAAGAAATCAGAAACGGCCAAACACATACTGTGTGAATGCGAAGCTCTAGATCGCAAAAGACAGGCTCTTTTTGGACAACCCCAGGTTGATCCAACAACATATAGAACCCGCTCACCCAAGGATCTGTACAAACTTGTACAAGATTCAAAGGTGACAGAGTGGGTGCTATGAACTAACATGGGGTAAAACACAATAAGCCAATAGGCTTCAGTGTTATTCGGAGACACATAGTCAGACGAGCCCAGGAGAAAAAAACATATATATTCTATAATAATTAGAGAAAAAATTACTGCTACAGAAATTCGTAATGTAGCATATTTATTCTGATATTTAGTTTCAGAAATATTAAAATGCCAAAAGTAAAAAAAAAACTCATGCATGTCTAAAGAAGAAAGCTCCGCGTGTTTTTAACATACCTAGAGCCACATTATAATTTAGAATGTCCAACAAATTTAAAAAAATTCGTCCTGGTCCATCTACAGTGTTAAGTAAAGAAGAGGAAGCGATTATAGTTAGATGGATTAAGGAATGCCAAAGGAAAGGTTTTCCTAGAATAAAGGAAGACATACAAGAATTTCTTAAAGAATACCTAGACAAAAACAACAAAACCAGTCCATTTAAAAGCAATCTCCCAGGTAATCATTGGTACCAAGGATTTTTACGAAGACACAATTTGACAGAAAGATCAAAAGAATCAGTAACCCAGGCTAGTGCCAATATTTCAGAAAATTATTTAAGAAAATGGTTTACTGAAATTGAGTACTATTTAGTTAAAAAGGGCTACAGTACAATTATTAATTATCCAAACAGGATATATAATGGGGACGAAACGTGTTTCTTACTGGGCCCTAAAAACAAAAAGGCTATTGCAGAAAGGGGAACTAGAAATGTTTATGAGGTAGCTAGAGCAGTAGCAAAATCTAACTTAACAGTTATGTTTACTTTTTCTGCAGCTGGCGAGACCACTTCACCGATGATTGTATATCCTGCCTAGAAGCATTAGTGATTGAGAGATTGGATTAAGTGACAATAGATGGATGAAGTCAAATATTTTATGAATATATAAGCACTATACTTCATCCACACCTAGTTAAGAAAGGGATAAAATTTACAATAATTTTTTTTGTTGATGGACACAAAACTCACCTAACTTTTAACCTTAGCGAGCTATGCACCAGGTTAAATATAATTCTTGTGGCATTATATTCAAATACCACAAGAATACTTCAGCCCACAGATGTAGTTTTCAAACCTATTAAAAATGGATGAAAACGTTCAGTTTTAGAATGGAGGAGAAAAAATCCAGATTCTGAACTAATAAAAACATTTTGCTTCGATTTTAAAAACGGTAGTTAATGATATAAAGGCACAAAATATAGTAAGTGCATTTAAGGCGACAGGACTTTATCCATTCACGGCAAATTCAATAGATTTTTCTAAATGTATCGGTCGACTTAAGGCTGCTATAGAAAAACCAGTAGATATACAATATATAAATTCAGAAGAGAATAATTGTATTACCTACAAGTCATTTGAAGGGATTGTAGAAAAAACCATACAACAAAATTTGAACAATTGGTGAGAACATGTGATCAATCCCAGAAACACAGTTATGATTTCTCCCTTCTTTATAAAATATGGCTTACATTTTCTCTACACCCTAAAATGTCTGAAGTGAATCATTCTTTACCTAGAGAAAGTAATAAAAAAGATAACGTCACTCTCAACCATGGGGTAATGCATTAAAAAACCAAAATAAAAGAGGACAACCTTGTAACAATGGATTTAAAAGATGTCTGTTTTACAAATTAAACATCTATTAGATATCATATTCCATAAAATATTGACTGTGATCCTATAACTTTTTACTTAGATGATATACCTGTAGTTACATATGAAGAAATGTTGAATTTTCCCGAATCCAATATAGTAATAGCTGAAGAACCAGAACTTAATGATCCTGAATTTAATACAACTGGCGAGCCTGAACCTAATTTATTTATTTATTAATAAAACTCAAACAGGCCTTACGGCCTTTTTACATGAGTAGTACAATACATAATATACATAATAATATATAATATAATCATACATATGAAATTATGACACTTTACATTTTTACTTGTATGAATGGGTTTGAATATAAAGACTATAAAGCTTCACAACAATCAGCGGAAA